CAGGGCATTCATGTTTTTCTCATTTAAAAAATAAAACATGAGGAGACTAATTTGTACGAAGTGTTCCTTGTTGGAGAAAAGGGCACAAGACTTACTGATTTCTGTATCACGTTTCCCTAAAAACAAAAACAAAACAAAAAACCACAGAAATAAATATAAATTATTATTAGGAGCATTTTTCTCTTGGATATATGACTGAGTTTTGTGAAAGTTGAACATTGTGTATAACTTTTCATTTACCTGTTGGGATGAAATTAATCAGACTTAATCTCATCCCAATTTCTTTTTAACATTAAATGAAAAAAATGAACAACTCCTCCTCAAATATAATTGCACACAAGATCAACATTGGACCAAATTATTTACTTGTGAGATGAGGCAAGAGGATATTTGAGGGCACAGAGTCCTCCTGGTCCCCCATGTCACGGTGCCTCCAGCACCATGTGGATTTCACCCTCAGAGAAGATACATTTCAAAGAATATTTTCTCTGACCCACATACTAAATAATTATCACTGATATTTCATGTGGTTTTCAAATTGATATCTCTTTAATAATCATCATCATAAATAATAAAACAGCAAACAACTTAATGGAAAAGATTCTATTTAGAGAAAAATTGAACTTACTGATTTCTCCAAGGTGTTTCCCTAAAGAAATGAAATAAAGCAAACAGATGTAAATACAAGTTGTCAAGGCTGTATCCCCACTTTGAACTTTAGGGTACAAGAGTGGGGGCCTGCATGAGGACTTCTTAGCTTAACTACCAGCTTAGTTCTGGTCCGCTGCCACCATTCCCTACCCTGGGAAGCTTTTAGAAACTTCTCACCAATTCCCTGGTGAATACAGATCCAAACTCCTTGGATCTTAAACAAGGAGAAATTGACCCTTCCCCCCTCCTTCCTTTCACCAACTCCTGGTGAATACAGATCCAAACCCCCTTGGATCTTAAACAAGGAGAAATTGACCCTTCCCCCCTCCTTCCTTTCACCAACTCCTGGTGAATACAGATCCAAACCCCCTTGGATCTTAAAGCAAGGAGAAATCAATCAGGTTCTTAAAAAGAAGGCTTTTAATTAAAGAAAAAGGTAAAAATCAGCTCTGTAAAATCAGTATGGAAAATAACCTTACAGGGTAATCAAACTTAAAGAGCTCAGAGGACCCCCCTCTGTCTTAGGTTCAAAGTACAGCAAACAAAGATAAACACTCTGGTAAAAGGTACATTTACAAGTTGAGAAAACAAAGTAAAACTAAGACGCCTTTCCTGGATGTTTTACTTACAAGTTTGAAATATGAGAGACTTGTTTAGAAAGATGGGGAGAACCTGGATTGATGTCTGGTCCCTCTCAGTCCCAAGAGCGAACAACCCCTTAAACAAAAAGCACACACAAAAGCCTTTCCCCCCCCAAGATTTGAAAGTATCTTGTCCCCTTATTGGTCCTTTGGGTCAGGTGTCAGCCAGGTTACCCGAGCTTCTTAACCCTTTACAGGTAAAAGGATTTTGGAGTCTCTGGCCAGGAGGGATTTTAGTACTGTACACAGGAGGGCTGTTACCCTTCCCTTTATAGTTATGACACAAGTTATTTAAGAATACTTTCAGTTAATGGAGATTTAAAGGAGTCTTTTCATGATATGAACGCCTGGCCCCTAAATACCAAACATTTCATTCATGTTTAACTAACCATGTGGCCACACTAGAGTTAAGTGTCCGACAGTAACTGACTATTTTCAAGGATTTACAATTCTGAAAGTTTTCAATTCCTTATGGAATTAGGGTCTGATTTTTCAAGGCATTTAGGTGGCTTTGCTGGGAGCTCTGGGGGTGCAGACTGGGATTTCTAGTCCTCAAGTTATCAGCATTATTTTTTAGCGTTATGACTTCTGCATTCAGTGCTTAATCTTATACTCATTGAAGTCAATGGCAAAGATCTAACGGATGTTAGGGATGCAGTATCTGGGCTTTCATGTTTTTCTGGTTAAAAATCTCCTCCCAAAAATTTCATAAATAAAAACAAAGAAATACCCTTATGAGGAGACAAATTTGTAGAAAAGTTTTACTTGTTGGAGGAAAGAAGACGACATTTACAGATTTCTATAGCCCGCTCCATTAAAAATAAACAGAAATAAATATAAATTCTTATTAGGAACATTTTTGCCTTGGTTATACAGTTGTCTGCATTTCGTGAAAGTTGCACAGTGATTATACAATTCATGAGCCTTTGATGGGTTTCATGTTCTCAGCACCAGGAGAAAAAGGTTTTCTCTTCTCCATCTCTGACTTATTATTTCTGACCATTGTCAGAACTCAGGTTCAGGCTCAGAGCTCATGTCTATTCAGACCCCTCTTTTCTACTGTGTATATTTTTAATATTACCTATTGGGGTGAAATTTGTCAGGCTTTGTCTCATTCCAATTTCTTTTTAAACAGTAAATGAAATCACAGACAACTGCTCAAAAAAAAAAAAAAATCACACATGATCTTTATGGGGACCCATATCTGTACAAAACATTTACTTATCAGAGCAGGGAAAAAGACATTTTCTAATTCCTCAAGTCCATAGGGACTGGGGAGGGAATAACTGCACAGCTGGGTGGGAAGTGGTCAGAAAAGAGTGAGGAGTGGAGAAGGTTTTGGATCAATCTTCCCTCTACCCCTTCCCCAAATGCTCCATTCAACTTAACTGAGGCAGTTTTGGGGGAGAAATATTCTGTGCCTGTAAAGGGCTGGTGCAGATCACAGCCTCCTGGAGCAAAGGGGCACCTTAGTAACGTTTCCTTCCCTGTGCTGCTGAGGGGAGCGCAGTGCAGGTCTGTGCTTCCCCTGCTTGGCCTAGTGTAAAATTTCATTCTTCCCTTTTTTCATTTATTAGAAGAAAATTTCTTGTTAATTTCACTACATTTTCCCCTGTGACATTTACCTTTCATTTTAAATAGATAAACAGTGAGGCCAATGGAAACAAACAAAACCAGAAGATTCACACTCAGAGCCACCATCCAGGAATTCACCCTCGGGAAAAAGAAATCTGAAAAATAAACCCCACAGGATTTGCATTAGTTTGGAAGCAGGGACAACACTAATTTTTTCTCTATTGCACGTAACTACGTAAATAGTCCCCAGCAGGACGTATGTGAGATAAAAGTGAAAACGTGACCCCCTCTATGCTACACAGAAGACCAAAACCTGATTGTAAAAATTACTCCAACCAACATAGCTTTAGCACTGATTAACCTGTGAATGAACAGGCCTGGTTTCATTCATGGTATTCAGAGCTTTATTGAGTTCAGGGGCAAATTCTCTGCTTACAAAACAACACTGACTTCAGTGGAGTTATGCCAGCAAACAATTTGGTCCTCACTGTTCAGCCACATTCAGAAATTGCAGGAATAATTAGAATATTTTGGTGAGTTACTAATAATTTCCCCAATTATTTTGATGAACCATAATCGCAATTAATCCAAATGTTAAGTGCTGAAAATTGATTCTTCTTTTGCCATTCTTGTGTTTACAGCATTTAAATCATCTAGCCAGGGTGGGGATTTCAAACATGCCTAAGGCCTTGGTTTGCACATTGGCCTGCTCAACCCTGGGTTGTGAGTTCAATCCTTCAGGGGGCTATTTAGGGAACTGGGGTAAAATCCTGTCTGGGGATTGGTCCTGCTTTGAGCAGGGGGTTGAACTAGATGACCTCCTGAGGTCCCTTCCAACCCTGATATTCTATGATTCCACACAGGATTTGTGCACTGGTTTAGTGAAATTGGTGTAACACTTATGCAGTCATTGTTACATTGATTCCACAGCTGACCACATAACAGGACTGCCCCAATTTAACTCAACTGGCTGAATAGTGTCTTTTATCCATTTAGTATAAATCAGTAAGGAACTGACTTAAGCTAAAAACATAGGACACTCTGAAATTGAAATAAGAGCATTCAAACAAGGGGTTTCATCAATAACTCAGTAGATAATCAGTGCAGCCTGTGTGTGTGTAAACAAAGGCAAAGTGAGTTATGAGCACAACTCCCATTGAATGTCAACGGAAACAAGCCCACATAATTTGGTGACATTTCGCTTATTGAAAAGGTAGCAAAGAAACCATAGTGTAAAAATTGCTACATTCACAAAATCACTGTTGTGAAGTTAAGTTTTTAGGAACAAACTCTTTCAAGGGTTGGTGAATATTTCTTCTCAAAAATCACACTTAAAAAAAAGTAAGAGTTTCAGGAGTATCAGAGTTAAGATTAAATTTACATGAAACCCAAAACTTTGAATATTCAAAATTAAGGCAATCAGATTGCCCAAGTTGTGACCTGTTAAGGTACCAGTTTCTGAACTTCTTTGTTTTTATGTAGTTGTAAAATATGCACAATAGATGCTTCAGTTCTTTGTTTCCTATGTTTTGTTTTCTTTCTGATGAAGGTGATTTAAGCCTGTGGGTTTAGCTGGTAACTGACCTGCTATATAAACTGCTGATTCCTTTTCTTGATTGAGAAAGGTGTTCCTGATCCAACAGGACAGGTTCTGGTTTGAATGTTCTTTTATAATAATAGAATTTTCTGTTTCAAACAGGCCACTATCCCCTAGGGATTTTGCTTCAGACAGTGATGGTAATTCTTGCCCACTGAGATCTCTCCATAGCACCTTGGGCTCTGGATACCACCCAGACGATTGACAAACCATCCGGATCCCTCCATCCTGGTGACTCTCCACAGAGATGAGAGGATTGGAGCCCAAAGCTAGAAGAAAATTACATAAATGTGTGATAAATCAATGGGGTAACTTAAAAGCTAAAAGGATAAGTGATAGATTGTGGATCCCTTACTCCCACTAGAGATCACTTGATCACGTAGAAGGGATAAATGAATACTGGAATTTCTGAATTCCCAATACACATGGACACAGGAAAAGATGTGAACAAATATTCAGTGAAATTATTTTAAATAAGTGAGATATTGTCCTCTCCACCCAACAGCAATGGAGCACTGAACAAATTTGGAAATCTGCCCACTTCATTTAAATACCTAGTGGGATATAAATTTTTCAGAAAGCTAGTTTTTAGCATATTGGATAGACATTTTGTTCGTTCTATTTTTAAATAAATAAATAAATCTAACTGGCTCCATGGTTCCTGTGTCAGAGCAGCAGGGGTCAAACACTCGGCCTCATCTACTAGTGGTAAATACATATGGTCTCCCCCCCCAACCACCATCTTTATGTGGCCTCAGCCAATCAGAAAGCTACAACTGATTTTGACTGCACCCCAACTAACTACCTGTAGTGACCACGTCAGAAGGCCCTATAAACCTGGCAGTCCCACTCTAGCCACGCCTCAAAATGACTGCAGAGAAATTGGAAGATCACAGGCTGTCCACACTTGAAAGGCTACAGCAGCACAGCTTCACTGCTGTGGTGCTTCAGTGTAGACACTACTTACACCAACAGAGGACTTCTCCTGGTGTCATTGGTAATACACCTCTCTGAGAGGCAGTAACTGGGTTGACAGAAGAATTCTTCTGTTGACCCCAGCGCTGCCTGCATGGGGACTTAGGTCAGCTTAGTTTTGTCACTCATGGGGTCACCTACTTTTCTAGTATAAACCAGGCCCATATTTGTCTAGAAGTCTTTTCCCTCCTTTCTCTCCCTCCTTTTGAAGTCAGCCAAAACCATCTTTTGGGCAAGAAAGTCTCTTGACCATTCTGAAAATGTCTTTAATAAAACGTTGGGAAAGTTTTCAGCATATTTTCCAAAGTGTATGAATGTGGTCGTGTGCTGAAATCTAGTCACACTGTGTTACTCTAAAATAAGTCACAGTTGTTGCAGTAGAAAAGAACAAAAACTGCAGCCCAGACTAAGATAATACAGACAAGAGCAGCTGACCTGCTATCTTCAGTTCCAATAGGGCTTCTTCATAAAAAGAACCATCTTGAACAAAACAGTAGTATTGTCCTTCATCTGAGTGTCTGATATTAAGAATTTGCAAGGAAACATTCCCATCCGTGATGCCAGCTTTCAAAAGCTCTGTCCTTCCACGATAGTCTGGCATCTGCTTCCCATATTGATCCTTCCCATGCAGATACAGGTGCACAACTGAAGTGAACTCAGATCGGAACCATCTCACTTCCATGTTCTCAGCGCTCATCCTGGGGGACAGGTGACAGGGTAACACAGTGGCCTCACCCACAATGGCAGTGACAGGGTGGCCAGGACCAGTCACGCTGTACTGGGCTGTGAAATACACCAAAGCAAAAAGAAGAAGCTCAGAGGGAAAAAAATATATATTCATGACTGATTTAATAGGTTCAAACTTTCCAAAAATTCAGCATGGAGCAGACACCTGGCAATCAAATTTCCAGCCTGAACATTGAAATTTTGGCACAATAACAAACAATCGGGGGGGGGGGGGGGGGGAAGAAGAGTTACATTAAAAAGTGACAGGCCAGCTCAGGTATAGGTGTAATTGATAACTCCCCTTATTTGATATGCCACAGAGCCATTTCAGTTTCCCGTGAACGGACAGGGTGACCTGAGTACATACACTGTATACCTGAGCTCTGATCTGTTCCTGCCTTCACTATATTTCTGATATGATTCTCAGCATTGATTTTAATATGAGAAGGGTGAAAAGATGAAATCCTGACTCCATTGAAGTCAACAGAGATCACTAGAATTTCACCCTAATGTTTTGGGACCCAGCTTCTTTGGAGACCACCACCTATCGCCTCGTATGAGGATACAATTTTCATTGAGATGAGATGAGGTTCTTGAGTTTTACTCCTTTGCCCCCCTCCACCTGTTTTTACTGAGACGGGGTCACTGCCAGGACATTTTCAGTAAAGGGTCTTCAACTCTGGGACTCACTTGCCTTGGCCTCACTGACCCCAAATCACTTCAGCTTTAGGCCACATTGCCTTGGTGTTTGAGAAAGGATTGGGTCACAGAGGATGCGAGCATATGAAGTAGGATGCTCAGCATGACCAGAGGTGCGTAGGGCAGCCCAGAGTGAAAATGCCAACGTCAGGGAAGGCTGCAGAAAGGAGAGAAGATTCTCCCCAAACTGGTGGTTTACACTATAGTTAGATTCACCAACCTGTCACAAACTGGGCTCCTGATCCCCCACATCGGTTATCAAGAAAATAAATCACACAGCCCCCTTTACTGCATTCCAGTCTCTGGCTCCCAATCAGCGAATAGGTTCAGTACAGTGAGAAGTTACTTAAAAACTCTATTCACTTTACAAAATGTTCTTTTAATTCCCCAAAGGACCAGACACATTACCAGATCAATACTAGTTTGAATCTTACCCAAAATACCATGCTGCTAGCCAATCCTTTAGTATCTAAATCTAAAGGTTTTATTAGAAAAGGAACGAAAGAGAAGAGTTGCTAAATGGTCAAAGCAGTCAGATACTTTCATATATATACACACGTAGAGAGAGAGAGAGAGAGAGAGAGAGAGAGATTTCAGAGTCCATATATCAGGATCTTAGCAGTACTGGTGAGTTTGTTAGCTTGCAAAGTCCCTCTGGAACACATCCAAAGCTTGGATGGGTCTATCACTCCTTTGTTCAAAGCTTCAGTTTGTAGGGAAGTTACTCCAGACGTGAGAAGCAGGATTGCAGACAAAATGGAGAAGATGCAGCTGCCTTTTTATATCCTTTTCCATGTGGCGTGTACATCCTTTGTCCCAAACACAAACTCACAGCACATGTGCATGAAAAGGTACTTGGTGTCCCCTGTCCATCGGCATGTCCCCATAGGTGCCGACTCGGTGGGTGATCCGGGGCTGGAGCACCCACAGAGAAAAATTAGTGGGTGCTCTGCACCCACCGGCTGCCAAGCTCCCCGCCCCACAACACCTCCTCCTCCGCCTACCTCCCAGCACTTGCCGCTGCCAAACAGTTGTAGCAAGCTCTGGGAGGGAGGGGGGAGGAGTGGGAACGTGCTCAGGGGAGGAGGCAGGGAAGAGGCGGGTCTGGGGTGGCGATTTGGGGAAGGAGTCGGAATGGGAGAAGGAGGGAGTGGGGTTGGGGTGGGGACTTTGGGGAATGGGGGAGGGGTGCAGTCGGGGCAGGGGCAGAGGGGGGGGTCAAGCACCCACCGGCACCAGTAGAAGACGGCGCCTATGCATGTCCCTACATGTCCTGAAAAACAACAAGGAGTCCAGTGGCACCTTAAAGACTAAGATTTATTTTGGGCATAAGCTTTTCCCAAATAAATCTGTTAGTCTTTAAGGTGCCACCGGACTCCTCGTTGTTTTTGTGGATACAGACTAACACAGCTACCCCTCTGCTACTTGTCTACATGTCCTGCTGACTCATAGCCCCGGCCTTCTCTCAATGGTTCATTCTACAGCAGGCTGGATAGTGCTGATGCTTGTCTGTCTGGGGGTGTCACCCAAACGTACAGCACAAGTTTGAGACAAATATACCACACATATTTATATCTCACCATACAAAGATGATACAGACCTTTAAACAAGCTTATCATATTTAGCAAATCATGCCTTTTCCACTGATACCTTACAATAGAATCATAGACCTGGAAGGGACCTTGAGAGGTCATCAAGCCCAGCCCCCTGCATTCATGGCAGGACCAGCACCATCTAGACCATCCCTGACAGGTGTTTGTCCAACCTGCTCTTAAAAATCTCCAATGATGGAGATTCCACAACCTCCCTAGGCAATTTATTCCAGTGCTTCACCACCCTGACAATTAGGAAGTTTTTCCTAATGTCCAACCTAAATCTCTCTTGCTGCAATTTAAGCCCATTGCTTCTTGTCCTATCATCAGAGGTTAAGGAGAACATTTTTTCTCCCTCCTCCTTATAACAACCTTTTAGGTATTTGAAAACTGTTATCATGTCCCCTCTCAGTCTTCTCTTTCCCAGATTAAACAAACCCAGTTCTTTCAATCTTCCCTCATAAGACATGTTTTCCAGACCCCTTATCATCCTTGTTGCTCTTCTCTGGGCTCTCTCCAATTTGTCCATATCTTTTCTGAAATGTCGCACCCAGAACTGGGCACAAGACTCCAGTTGAGGCCTAATCAGCAGCATAATTACTTCTCGTGGCATATCTTGTATAAGATTTATTGTGATTTTGTAATATTGGTATCAATGCTATTATAAATGGTCACCCATATTCCATACAGCCTCACACTCAGATACTATGATGATATAAGTACCTAGATAGATAGAGAAACTGAGTTGCCTCATATGCAGCAGGTGGAGAATTACTCCTCCAGAAGGGTTGGGGAGGAAGTGGAGACTTATTTACTGATATTGAGCCAATCTGAAATTTGTTGTAGGGTTTGTTTTTTTGGTTTGGTTTTTTTTTCAGTTTTGTACAAAGGAGTGGAATAGGCATGATTTATAAATCACTACAATGAAACAAATCCTACAAGGAGCAGCAGGACCAGTGGGATTCCTACCTGATTCCAGCTTGTGAATGTGATAAGTAATGAAGAAAATGATCAAACCAGGCAGAGAGGCGCTCACTGCGGAGCTAGGACAGAATGAAAGAACCTTCATCTTCACTCTAACTTGATCTGGACAACAGGATAGAGAAGAGAAAAATACTTTACTAAAGCATGTTTTGCATTCAAATCTGATTTGTTAGGAAAAAGGAACTATTATCTGTAGTTAGTGAATTGAACTGATTGTTTCTGGTCACCGTGTCCTTCAAGATTTTAGAGCTGGTAGATCTCATCCTCTCACACCTTGTTTTTAATGACAGGTTTGAAGTGGAAAACAAACTTTCCTGATTTTTCAACTCCCAACTGGTTTTTCAACTTTGAATGGACGAGTCATTGAATTGAGTTAGTTGGGTACATTGAAACAAATAAAATATTTTCTCTGTACCTGCAGAAGAGGCTATTGCTGTCAAAAGCTGGGTGAGCCCTTCAACAAATTCTGCTTCCAGGTGCTTAGCCAGTGACTGCCACCACTTCACTGATCTGATTTTCTTTAAAACTTTTGAAGCAAACATATACAGCTTGAATATTATACATATATACATTATATATCTATATCTATATGCCTTAGCATCAGTTGTCATAATTTTAATTTGAAAGATAAACCAGTATTTAATTTAAATTAAAATATCCAAGTGAAAGAAAAGCCTCTGATTTAATTTTTTTAAATCATTTTTTAAAGATCAATTTTCATCCACCCTGAGTGTCTGACATTTCCTTCAGACCCTTATTGCCAAAGAACTAGAGCACTTTGATGAATTAAATTAATAGGAGTGACACATTGGTTTGTGTAGATTGGATGAATTATTGCAGAAAACTGAAATTTGTTTGTGCCTTTCAAAAACAGAGCAGCAGCACTGCCAAACCCAGTATTCAAAAGTCAGTGTAACCCCCACCCTAATGTGTTAGGGGTGCGTGGTATTGTATGGTCTTGTGTTGTCTGCAGTGGCCCTTGAAAAGTTTTTACAGTGGGGGTGCTGAAAACCAGTGAAAGTGACCCCAAAATGTTTACCTCATGCCCCCTTTACTTCTGTTCACACCCCACATGCCCTCCCCTCAGAGCTGGGGCTGGGAGCAGGGCTGTATCTCCAGAAGGGTGTGGCACAAACAGCGGTAAAGGGACCGAGGCTGGGGCTACACAGCTAGTGGTGGGCAGGAGTGGATCTCCACGTGCGGGGCCAGGATTGGAGCCCTGGGACCAGGAGTGGATCCCCGCATAAAACCTAGGGACACTGCACACACCCCTACTTCCCGTGCCTATGATTGTCTGGTCTTGTAGCTTTGATTAGCTGTAAAACTGCATAATTATGGGAACATATACAAGCTGTACATTTTCGTGGGGTGGTTGTTTTTTTTTGGGGGGGGGCTTTAGAATATTTGTTGCTTTATGAAAATCAATACAAAAAATCCTCGCCCCCTGCACACACTTTTTTTTTTTTTAAATCACAAATTGGGTCAAAAAAGGTATGTGATTGACTTAAAAATCAATGTTTTAAATATACATTTTGAGTTCCTATTTTTTGCCATTTGGTTTCTGAGCCTTGAGGGTACACTCAATCTTAAACTTTCCCCTGCAACTAACTATAAAGGCTAGAAATTTATTTTTTACTTTAAATGAAATCAAATATTCTCACATAAACTCAAAATTACAACATTAGGGCTTTCAGAAAATTACCCAATACTGTGAGACAAAATAAAAATCACAAATAACTATGAGAGTTGACAATACTGAACCTGGTCAAAAATACTAAAACAAAAATGATTTTTCAATAGAATACGGCTTTTAGAAATTTTTTTAAATACTATTTTTCCTATTATTTTAATGTTTCTAATTTTTCAACAAAATGATGCTAAATGAAAAAAAATTCAAATGGATTCAAAATGAGAAACCCTAATCAAATGGAATAAAAACATTTTATTCACCCATCCCTTATCCTGTCTCAAAGGAGAAAAGGGAGAAAAAATGAAAACTGAAAAAAAGAAAAACTAAAATCTAACATTTTGTGCAATAATACGTGATTAAAAATTTAAAAATAAGCAAAATGTTTTAAACAAAACAAAAACATAATTTCACAACAATACTACCATTTTAAATAGCTGCACTCCTACAGGTTTCTTCATGATATTGCCCCTTGAATGGCTTTTCACACAGGAGGAGATAATCTGTTACACAATGGATACATTTCCTTTTTCTAATATAGCCTGAAGTCCCTACTCAGTGACACTCTTGAACACAGGATCAACATTAGGCACATGCTTAATTCCCACTGAGGTCAGAAGGAGAAAAGGAGGCAGGTTTCTGTTTTGATTGATTCTGCGCATGATTTTATTTTTTACAAGAACAAAAGGATTCACCCCGCCCCCCAGTCAAGAGGCAGAAAACTGCAATGACAGCACAGGCAGAAAACTAGATTGATGGCAGCTGGGTTTGGTGCAGTAAATTTCCTGTATTCAAAATATAGGCAGTTATTTGTTACAAATCTCCCCCAAGAACAGTATTGGGCCCACTGTTCTTGAATAAAATACAGCAAACAAAGAAATGACTAATTCAACAAGCTGTAAAGGTCACATGTTACATTGCTATGAAAACAATCTGCAATGTATTTGACAGTACATCACTTTGAATGTAGATGTACTGTAAAGTTCCCATAAAGAGAGAAACAAATTATCACAAGATTATTTACTCCTTGTGTTTAGAAAAAACTGTCCAAGCAATAAGTACCATGTATTAGACGTTATAAACAGTCCTGCTGAAGCAAAATTAACCCACCTGGTTGCGTCTTCTGAGAAGTTTAAAATCTGCCGGGTGTGGTCAGAGTTCACTCCTCTGGCTGGGACAGTTACACGTTCATTGACTGTTCCCGTTTTCCACGGATGTTGCTCAGCTAATACTGGCGATCAAAGAGCTGCAGTTTTGTCTCATGGCTTTTCCGTAGAACGGTGTTAAAAGAAACGTGGTTTTGTTCCCAATTGATAAACCTGCGCTCGGCTCGCAGCGTTCGCCTGGGGAAAGTGAAAGTAACACTGTCAATTGCCTCGTTCCAAACCCTGTCACGTGGGGAGGTTCGAGTCTTCTCTTAAAGAAACAGCCCCAGTCCTGCTGCACCGCAAGTGTTTGGGAAACCGGAAGTTTATGTTAACAAAAGGGGCTTTGTTATTGTTGAGGTGGGGGTGGTTTTTTTGTTTTGTTTGTTTTTTCTATTTAGTTTATTAGATTCAGCAAAAGCAGGAAGAAGATTCTCTTTGAAATCATGACTGGATTGATGTAACTGGGTCACCTGAACAACTGACTCTGAATCCAGTTATGATTTCAAAAAGAAAAAAGTTTTTGCTGAATATAATAAACTAAATGGCAAAAAAACCAACCTCCCCTCCGCCCCCCAACAACAAAGCCCCTTTTGTTAACATAAAGTTCCGATTTCCCACTGAAGATCGTGACCTTCCAAAACATCAAGTTCATCAGAAGTGATTCGCTGTGCTGTTGCAGCCATGTTGGCCTTGGTCTATTAGTGAGACAAGGGGGATGATGTGAGATCTTTTATTGGATCAACTTCTGTTGGGGACAGAGACGAGCTTCCCAGCAACACAGACCTAAAGAAGAGCTCGGTGCAGCTCCAAAGCTCGTCTCGACCAACAACAGGAGTTGGTCCCATAAAAGATTTTATCTCCCCCACCTGGTCTCAGTTCATCAAAACTCAAACTTTAGAAAACCAAGAAATACAGAGTTAAGGTACAGGCCAGTGTATCCTTAACCCTGCCCCCATGGGGCTGTCACTAGTCATTGGGAAATGATCTGTATGCACCCCAGCTGTATTCCTGGTGTGAGGTGTAGCTAGACCAAATGGTGGAGGAATTAGTTGGAGCAGGTTTTTTTCAGATAATTTAGGAATTAGCTCACAGGAACACTGTATCTAATAAGAAATAAGAAATTAATGGAGATATCCCATCTCCTAGAACTGGAAGGGACCTTGAAAGGTCATCGAGTCCAGCCCCCTGCCTTCACTAGCAGGACCAAGTACTGATTTTGCCCAGATCCCCAAGTGGCCCCCTCAAGGATTGAACTCACAACCCTGGGTTTAGCAGGCCAATGCTCAAACCACTGAGCTATCCCTCTCCCCCTAATTCCTATATAAAGAAAGAAAATATATATACAAACTGAAATTAAAGCCACATTTTGAGTTTATATGTAAATTTAGAACAATCAGGAGATAATACAGCAAAATATTCCCAATCCAAAGACTTGAGATATCAATTCTGGAGCTTTACACAGGTATCAGAAACACACATTTGATACTTTGTATGCTATCTTTAGTAGAGATAAATAAAATCTGCTTAATTTCTCTAAAAGACACATTCTGTGTTACTGCCATTATCTACTCTGTTTTAGTTAATTGTTTTTCACGCCACTAAAAATGTATTTACTTAATTTTAACATAAATTCCCGTTTCTAATAAAAGAGGAAAAAACCTTAATCATGTATTTTTCTAATTATTTTGGCATTTATGTTTACTGATCACAGTCATGTATGTGACTCACTAACTTTGGACTCCATCATTGCTATGAGTATCAGAACTGGAACTTTTATTTTTGTATGAATTTTAAGTTATTTTACAGATAAAAATACCCGTGGTAAATAAGCAACCTGCATCTGCACAGTGTCTAAAGTTATGTGTTTAGCTTTTTTTTTTTTTTTTTACAAATAAGCTAAATTTACATTCTAGGAGGATACTATTAGTTGATTGTACCACTTTAAGTAATGAATGACAAAGCACAATATGCTAATAAAAGTAATAATGAGAATTACTCCAGCCAGGACAGGTTAGGCATTTTAGAACTCACTCCTCAAAGAATTAAATTTAAGCATAAGAGAGAAATAAAGTTATGAAATGCACAGACCAGAAAAAAACACCCTACAATAACAGCAGTGCAATCCTTAACCAACTTTGAAAGAATAAAATGACAGAGAACATAGGTGCCTTGCTCATTTCAACAGAAAGTAACAACAATAATACAAGTGTATGTTGGGGGGAGAGTGTGTGTATTCGGAGAGTGAGAGAC